GGGGGAGGGGGGAGGGGGAGGGGAGGGGGAGGGGGAGGGGGAGGGGGAGGGGGAGGGGAGGGGGAGGGGAGGGGGGAGGGGGAGGGGGAGGGGGAGGGGGAGGGGGAGGGGAGGGGGGGGGGGGGGAGGGGGAGGGGGGGGGGAGGGGGAAGGGGGAGGGGGAGGGGGAGGGGGAGGGGGAGGAGGAGGAGGAGGAGGAGGAGGCGGAGGAGGCGGAGGAGGCGGGGAGGCGGAGGAGGAGGAGGAGGAGGAGGAGGGAGGAGGAGGAGGAGAGGAGGAGGAGGAGGAGGAGGAGGGAGGAGGGGGAGGGGGAGGAGGAGGTGGAGGAGGAGGAGGAGGAGGAGCGGAGGAGGAGGAGGAGGAGGAGGAGGAGGGGTCTCTTAGGGGGCTCTCCTGGGCAGCCTCGGGGGCACTCAGTGGGCCGTCCTGGGCTGCTCCGGGGCCCTGGGCCGTCCGGCGGCGCCTTCGGAGGCCGCCCTCGGGGCTTGTAGTTTTTGCACCGTCTCGGGGAGCTGCCGCGGCTCTTTTGGGGCCGTCTGGGAGCCCCCTCGGGCCGTCTCTCGCGGCCCTCGTGGGGGTCGTCTCGGGGCTTGCCTTGTGGAGGACGAGGGCAATGAAGTGGAGAGGAGGCATGCTGCCAAATGATTTGCAGATGTCTAGAAGATGTGTCAAACATGTTCTAAACATTCTTAAACATGCCCGTAACATTTTTAGAACATGCTTTACACATCTTAAGCACATCTTTCACTCAATGATGGGATTGTCAGGGTGTCCATTGTCATGGCATCCGCAGAGGGTTGTCCTGGGGCCCTCTTAGGGGGCCTCCTGCAGTCGGCCCGCGCGGAGGAGGGGCAGCCTTCCCAAGGGTTCCCACTGCATCCTTGCCTCCGCGGCCCATCCGTCGCCACCTTCGTACAGTCGGGGCCCTGACGAAGGAACCCTTTTCGTTGGGGAGGGGCTCCGCGTTCCTCAAGTGTTTCACAGCCTGCCTCAGGTTTTCCTTGTGTCTTCGATAGGAAACCGAAGTTTAACTTATGGAACAAAGGGGCCTCGTTCCTTATTTAGGGTTCCTTAGGTCAACGCCCCGACTGTAGGCCGCGCCCCGCTCGAGAAGCTTCGAGCTTGGCGTCCAAGGCCCTTGCGTCCTCATCGCGCATCCTTCTGATGCGGGTGGACTGTATGCCGTCTGGGGCTTTCGGATGCTCGAACAGGTGGGAATGCAGACGCGTCCGAACAGCACTGGGCAAATCCATGATTTCGGCGGCCTGGGGCCTTCCTGGAAGTTCGCTTGGAGCCCGCTTAGGGCGTCTTGGGGGGCATACTGGGCCATCTTGAGGCCATACTGGTCCGTCTTGGGTCCATCGTGGGCCGTCTTGGAGGCATCTTGGGGCCATCTGGGGCTCTCTTTTTAGGCCGTCTTGGCGTCCTTCATGCCCCTTCTCCAGGACGCAACTCCTGGGCGGTTAAGCCGCTGCTATATCCGTGGTCGAAACGCTGCCTGATCCGGCACACTCCCGCTCAACGCGGCTCAATCCCGTTCGATCCAGTGGGCTCCAGCTTCATCCCATGCCCCCCTCGTCGTTCTGACGAAGACCTTCCAGAATGTGCCTCCCAGCCTTCCCTCCTCCTCCTCCTCCCTCCCGCCGAGAGGGCTCAATCCGCCGCCCTCCCGGCTCTGTGCTGGCTTGGCTGCCTGGGGCTCGCGGCAGGGCCTCCCTTCGCTGGGGAGGGTGGCGGTAATCAGGTGCGCCCTCCTTGGTCAGGCGATCAGGAACATGGACTGAGGGGGCGTGGAGTAGCGACGGGTCCCGTTTCCATGGGGAATCGCGCATTCCCGCCGCCGAACGGGGCGGCACCGGCTGCACATTAAGGGAGGGCACCTCCCCCGATCCATGGATTTGGCGACCGCGCGCCAAATCCATGGATCGCTAATCCATGTCTTCAATGCTCGTTTTGGGGAACTTCCTGGGGGCCACCTAATGGATCTATTCGACTCAGGTTCGACTCAAGTTCGACTCAGGTTCGACTCAGGTTCGACTCAGATTCGACTCAGGTTCGACTCATGTTCGACTCAGGTTCGACTCAGGTTCGACGCAGCTTCGACGCACGAGTGGAGCGAGTGGCTCCAGGAAGGTCCCCAGATTGAGCATCTAACATGTTTGCGCGCCCCCGACTTGGCTCTCTGGGTGAGAACCTTCGGCGAGACGGCGCGCAGGCTGCTGCAAGGCCGAGTCCGGCTGACCTCCTGCCGTGCCATGCTGTGCCGTTCCCCGGCCCCCCCCCGTCCTCCCCGCTCGAGCCGGCCTGTGGGCGCCCGCGGGCGCGACGAGCCCCGCGCGGGCCCGGAGGGCTACGGCTTCGTCGAGCTGGGGGACGGTCGCCGCATCTACGTGCACCACACCTCCTTCGGCGGCGGGTCGCTCATGGCCGGCCTCGAGCTAGAGGCCTCCCCGCTCGGTGGCGGCGACGGCGATCAGCGCAGGGGAGAGCAAGACACGTGTGAGTATATGTATCTATATAGATGTATAAATGTTTATATATATATATATATGTATATATATAACTATATCGATACATTTATATTCATGTATATATCTAGATATAAGTATATATATATGTATATAAATCTGCAGGGGGCCGATGGCCCATGCCTTCGGCGACGCTCCCCGGGCGAACGATGGCGTGTGCTGCCCGCTCCCGGGCTCAGTCGCCCCTCTCGTCGCCGCCGATCCCCAGGCCTCCTGCCCCGCGCCCGCTGCCGCTCCGCTCCCCGGGAGGGAGAGAAGAGACACGGGCGCAACGAAGCGCCGACTCCCCGGAGAATGTGGGAACATGTGGGAATTGGTGGTCCCCAAACGTGGTGGTGAGAACACCCGGTGGTGAGTTTTGGGCGATTTGGGTAATGGTGTTCGAGCGCTGGCTGGCCCAGGAAACGCAAAACCTCGTGGCGACCGCGTGTCCCCAAACCTGGTGGTGACCCAGAATTATTTTTTGGGGGAATCGGGGTCACCACGGGGTGTCTCACCACCTGGTTTGGAAACCACCAAGGGAAGCGGGGGGGAAGATGAAGCCCCAGGAGATGTGGGAGCGTGTGGGTCATCCTGGGATCTGTGCTCATTCCCTGGTGTGTCCCTGGGCGCCTTTAAATCGTCTTCGTGCCGGCCTCTGTGCTGGCACTGGCCCTCGCCAGGCACGCCCTGGGCCCAGGCCGCACCGAGAGTGCCTCTTCGCGGCCCCGAGGCCAGGGGGCCCCCTATCTCGATGGGTCGGTGTTGGCTGGTCGGTCGGTGTGCCCTTCAGTCAGAGGAGCATGAAGTATTGATATGGATAGTTTTCAAGATTTCCAGGTTTTCCTGTTCTTCCGCGCGGGCTACAGGGACGAATGGTCGAGCTCATTCCGTCGCGCAGGTTCTGTGCGCGATGTGCGCGTTACATGTTTCGCGCATCGGAGCACCCTCGGAGATACCAAGCTGTATGCTGTGTTGCTCTTGGGGAGTCCGCGAGTCGCAGCTGCCGTGGCGCTGTTTTCGAGGTGACCCCTTCGAGTGCTGTTCGCGGGCGCAACGCGCGGCCGGTTGGCTGGTTGGCTTGTTTGTTGTTCGGTTGGACGGTCGGTCTGTCGGTCGGGTGTTTTTCGTCAGGGGAGGAACAGGTGCCCATACCGCTGCCCTCGCCCCGTTTTCGCCTTCTTGGGCCTCCTTGGAGGCTCTCGTCGCCACTGTCGGATTCGCCTCGAGATTCTCGTCAGACCGCGCCCTGGGAGACATCCGCGGAGTAGCGGTATCGGTACCTTTTGGTTTCCTTAGTGTGTTCGGTTGGCTGGTTGGCTGGTCGGTTGGTTGGTCGTGGCTGAATGGCTGTATGGCTGGCTGACCGGATGATCGGCTGGCTGGCCAGCTGGTTGGCTGGCTGCCTCCCGGCTGCGCTCCACCCTGCCTGCGCGGGGCAAAGGCTTCGTTGGTCAAGGGGCCCGTGGGGGACAAAAGGCTTTCGCTCTGTGCGAGCGCAAGGCAAGGGGGAAGATAAGTACACGTGGTTCTCGTTGGTCAGTGGGCCAGGTCGGCCGAACAAAAAAAAAACAACACCTGACGAGGAGCTGAGACCTGCACGGCGCGCGCTGCGCCGAGCGCCCGCGGCAAGATTTCGCCAACGTGCGCCCACCGCATCGGGTGGCGACCGCTCAGGAGCGCACAGGTGGCCGTACTGGTCGGGGAAACGTACGGCAAAAAACTTAATTTTGACATGCATGGTTTGGAAATCAACTTTTTAAATATTTCATGTTTGTCGAGGATGTCTCAGGCGATAGCCCCATTTCCATATTTGTGTCGAACTCGCGATTTTCAGTTTCTGGTGGATGTCTCAAGCGAAACGCCTGCTTTTGTAAAAGGCGATGTTGCGAACAACTTTTGTTTGGAGGATGTCTCAAGCGAAATGCGCATCTTGAAGAATCTCGAGGGTGCGCTTGGAGTCATATTGGGCCTCGTTGGGAGCTCGTTTGGGGCCGTCCCGATGCCTTAGAAAATGTTGCCAGTGCGATGTCACACACATTTCTTTTTCGAGGATGTCCCTAGCGAGCTCGTCATTTTTAGAAGGCTGGTTCTGGCCGTCTGGAAGCCTTTTCAGGAGCGATTCCAAGACGATGTCAGAACAGCTCATTTCAAAACCATGCTCCTTATATATATATATATATATATATATATATATATATATATATATATATATATATAACAAATATATCCGTAAGGGCTTCGCCCCATGCCGCCGGCCCCCTGTCTCGGATAATGGGAGATGCTAAAGCTAAAATCATGAGGTCTGGGCGCCGCCGCGAAGCAGTGTCGGGACCTGTTTGTTTTTCGACCCTGACCCTACTGCGTCACGGGTGCCACCGAATTTCAGATATTTGGTGCATCCCTTATGTTTTTGGACCCTGACATTGCAGATCTGCATGAGGGGTGCCGCCGGATTTCAGACATGTGGCAACTCCCCTGTGTTTTTGGACCCTGGCCTTGCCGATCTGCGTGAGGGGTGCCAGCAAATTTCAGAAATGTGGCAAATCCTCCGTGTTTTTGGACCCTGACTCCGCCGATCTGCGTGAGGGGTGCCAGCGAATTTCAGACATGTGGCAGATCCCTTGTATTTTTGGACCCTGACACAGCCGATCTGCGTGAGGGGTGCCACCTCTTCGTCCTCGTACTTGTCGCCGTCGTCGTCGTCGTCGTCGTCGTCGTCGTCGTCGTCGTCCTCCTGCTCCTGCTCCTCCTCCCCTCCTCCGCGGAGCGCGCGCGCGCGCCGGGTGGGTGGGGCGGGGCGGCGACAGCGGCGGCGGCGGCGGCGGCAGCGTCTGATTTGGGTCGCGGGTGGGTCGCAGGTTCTCCACCTGGAGCGAATGCAACAGAAGCCCGCCGCAGGCGCCGAAAATTTTGGGTGGGTCGCGGGGTGGGTCGCGGGTGGGTCGCGGGTGGGTCGCGGTGGGTGGCGGGTGAGTCGCGGGTGGGTCGCGGGGTGGGTCGCGGGTGGGTCGGGGTGGGTCTCGGGGTGGGTCGCGGGTGGGTCGCCGATGCAATAGAAACCCGCCGCAGGCGCCGAAGTTTTGGCTTGCTCAGTGAACGTAGTTTGGGTCGCGGGTGGGTCGCGGGCTCTCCACCTCCACCTGGAAGGAATTCAAAAACAGCCCTCCGCAGGCGCCGAACATTTTGGGTGGGTCGCGGGGTGGGTCGCGGGTGGGTCGCGGGTGGGTCGCGGTGGGTCGCGGGTGGGTCGCGGGTGGGTCGCGGGTGGGTCGCGGGGTGGGTCGCGGGGGGGTCTCGGGGTGGGTCGCCGGTGGGTCGCGGGTGGGTCGCCGATGCAAAAAAACCCGCCGCAGGCGCCGAAGTTTTGGCTTGCTCAGTGAACGTAGTTTGGGTCGCGGGTGGGTCGCGGGCTCTCCACCTCCACCTGGGAGGAATTCAAAAACAGCCCGCCGCAGGCGCCGAACATTTTGATTTGTACACTGAACGCGGTTTGGGTCGCGGGTGGGTCGCAGGTTCTCCACCTGGAACGAATTCAAAAGAAGCCCGCTGCAGGCGCCGAAAATTTTGGGGGGTCGCGGGGTGGGTGGGTCGCGGGTGGGTCGCGGTGGGTCGCGGGGGGTCGCGGTGGGTCGCGTGGGTGGGTCGCGGGTGGGTCTCGGGGTGGTCGCCGGTAGGTCGCGGGTTGGTCGCGGGGGGGGTCTCGGGTTGGGTCGCGGGCAGGTCGCGGGGTGGGTCGCGGGGTTGGTCGCGGGGTGGGTCTCGGGGTGGGTCGCGAGTGGGTCGCGGGGTGGGTCTCGGGGTGGGTCGCGGGTGGGTCGCGGGGTGGGTCGCGGGTGGGTTGCGGGGCGGGTCGCGGGTGGGACGACGACAACACCAAGCAACAACCAACAGACAACAACAACAACAACAACAACAAGAATCCGTACCGCGGAATTTCACTTCAGCCACGCACCCAGGGACAGTGAATGACCGTTCGGTTCAGCCTCCTCGCTCTCATATATGTGTGCACATACTTATTATGTATATCCTGAGGTCATGCGCTTGTCACAGGCCCCGAACTCCCCCATTGAAGGCTCCCCTTGCGCGACCAAACTCCCGATCATAATGACCTGGAACACTGTTTGGGTGCCGTCGGATGTTTCGAGGAGCAGCCAAACCAATCCTAACGCGGTCCAAGGTCGCCTTCCGAGGCCTCCTGTGCGATCCAGGGTCCTTCTCTCAACGTGGCACGTGGATGTGATGGTTGTGTGGTGGGGGGGGGGTAGGGAAAGAGAGAGAGAGAGAGAGAGTGATATCTCTCTCTCTATATATATATATATATAGATTCATATATATATATATATATATATATATACATATGTAGAGAGATACCACAACAAAACACGAGAGAGGGATACATATATATATATATATATATATATTATATCATATATATATATAGAGAGAGAGAGAGAGAGAGAGAGAGAGAGAGATGGAAAGAAAGAGAGAGAGAGAAAGAGAGAGAGCGAGAGAAGGAGAGAGGGAACGAGAGAGAGAGAGAGAGAACGAAAGAGAGAGAGAGAGAGATACAGAAAGAAAGAACGTCAGAAACGGAGGAGGGAGGGCTTGAGAGAAGGACACTGTGGAGGAGCATTGAGGAACGGGCAGGCGGAGGCAGGCCAGGGCCCGGAGATGGGAGACCGGCGGAGGGCGGCGCGGGCAAGATGACGCTCCTGGGGCCGGGAGGCGACGAGCGGGCGGGCGGTGATCCCTGGCATCGCTCGGGCGTGTGCAGTTTTTCTCCGTTCGGAGGCTGCGCCCTCCTTTTCCTCCTCCTCCTCCTCCTCCTCCCCCTCCTCCTCCTCCTCCTCCTCCCCCTCCTCCTCCTCCGCCCCCCTCCTCCTCCACCTCCTCCTCCTCCTCCTTTCTCCTCCTCCTTCATCTCTGGTTCATTCAAGCTTCTCGCGGCCCGCTTAGCTTCGACCGGAAGAGGTGCGCTCTCGACCCGCGAATCAAGAAAGTGTTTTTTTTTTTTTTTCTCGGCGAGGACCATCGAGGAGCATTCTTGATCATCTGGCGAAGAATACACGCACGAAGTCGAGAAATGCACGGGGAATGGACGTCCGAGCGATGGCGAGTGATGGGGGTGACCCAAATCGGGGGTGAAGAAGAGGGGGCCCCTTTGGAGCCAGCTGGTGCCAGGGCTCGTTTCTTCGCCCCCCATGTGGGTCCCCCCCTCCCACTACCGCCCGCCCGAGACGAGGACATCGGTCAAGAGGAGGGCGAGGAGGAGAGTGAGGAGGGGAAGAGGAGGGTGTGGATGCGGAGGTGAAGGAGGTGGGCAGAAAGAGGGGGAAGAATGGGAGAGGGCGGCGAATGTGGAGCTTGAGTCGCCCCATTGCCGCACTATGACGGCGATGCGTGCTGTCGCCGTCGACACAGCTCCACAGCGCACAGGTATCTTCCCTTGTTGTCGCGGTCAGCACGAGAACCGTCCACACAACAATGTATGAGGTTAGCAGCGTCACGTTTCATCAGAGCGATCTGTTTGTCGACAATGTGGCGAGTGGTGGAGGAACCAATCGCACGCGAAGCGCATGCACAGAACAAAGGCACGCTCGTAGATCTCGCAACAGATACCTCAGCAACTAGGAAGTGATTCCTCTATGCGCACAGGCACACGCTATATGTTAGCAAACAAGGTAGTGCCATATGGATCAGTTAACATGCACCTGCAGGTATAGCTGGCAGTTTAGCTTCAGGTGTAGGTCGATGTATAGGTGTGCAAGCAACATGAGGGATCGGTGACGGTAGACGTTCAGAGGGCCCTTGGATGCCGTATCAGGAATCGAGAACCGGCAGAGTCGCGAAAGCAGGGACTGATCTCAGCCAGGAGGGGAGCGACTCCGTGGAGGAGAGGCGGTGTGGCTCGGTGGACGAGGGGCGTCCCCCGTGGCGCTGCGGTGGCCCCCCCGCCAGATTATCCCTGCGCGGGACACGCTGCACCCCGGCAAGTGGAGAGCCGCCCAAGCGCGTGGGCCTGCAGTGATTCCGAAGGACCCTGCCTCTCTCACCGAGCGCGTTCCACTACTCGCAAAGTGCCTACTCGCAAACGCCCGACAAACACATGCCTGCTTCAATGTAACGTATCGCAGATCCCCCGCGGCGGATCCAGGCCATTTGCGAGTAGCTACTTTGCGAGTAGTGGAACGCGCTCGTCTACTCTCCCCTTCCTCCTGGCTCGGTTCTGCCTCCTCGGAGGCAGGCCAGAGTCCTCCGCTTCCGCAGCCGCGCGCTCCCCCCTCCCCCTCTCCCCCGCGTTCTTCTCCGCGTGCGCTGCCCGCTCTCATCCAATTCTCGGGGAACGAAGAGTGACATAAGCATAACGAGAGAGAGAGAGAGAGAAGGAGAAGGAGAAGGAGAGGGAGAAGGAGAACGAGAGGAAGAGAGATCGGGGAACGAAGCATGACACAAACATAACAACTCGGATGTCGGCCCGGATTTCTCGGATCGGCGCTGAGGCCCCCTGGCGGCGCCTCCAGCGCCGCCCCTGGCGCGCTCCGCGCGCCAGGGAGGGGGGTCCCGCGCGGATCCAAGAACTCCGCGCGGACTTCGAGTTTTTCTGTTTGTGTCACTTTTCGTTCCCCTAAAGTCCTCGGTTCAGGTCAAGTTCTGGAAGTCGATGGCAGAATAACTCATGATTTCATTCCTGCAGGCGCCTGAGGCGATAGGCTGGCCCTGCCAGTTTGGAGCAAGTGTGCACTCAGAGCAATGGTGCTGGCAGTAGAATGTAAAGCAGGCTTGGCCGAGGCATGCAGTGCCTAGATGGCTGTTGGAACTTGCCGTGGCGGTCTTCCCAGCGCGTCTTGAGCTCGATGCCTAGGCGCTGGCCTCGGGGCCCACGGAGGCCACTCTTCGTGTCCAGCCCTGAGTTGCCCTCTCCGTCCTCGCCATCCTGTGCGTCTTCAGGCAGTTTCAAGCCAGCTGGTCTCAGTGAAGGAGGTCTTCCGCCCCTTCTTGCTCCCTGCCTCCTCTCCCGTCTTCGCTTCGCCACCGCCCCGTGGTACAGTCGGGGCGCTGAAGAAGGAACCCTTTTCATTGGGGAGGGGCTCCGTGTTCCTTAATTGTATCGCAGCTTGCCTTAGGTTTTCCTTAGGCTTTCGATATGAAATCGAAGTTTCACTCATGGAAAATAGGGGCCTCGTTCCTTATTTAGGGTTCCTTATGTCAACGCCCCGACTGTATTACTCCGTGCACCTGGCCGTCTTCCGCCCTGCCTCTTCTGGCCGCTCGCGCTCTCTTCGCCTGCCCGGGCCTGCTTCGGTGGCGAGCGCAGGGGGAGGCAGGGGGTGACATGGGGGGCAGGCCATCTCCGAAAATGGCGGGGCGTCCCAGAAGCCCTCGCACCCTCTGAGATGCCGCCGAGGAGGAGGAGGAGGTGGAGGAGGAGGAGGAGGAGGAGGAGGAGGACCCGCCGCCTTGGAGAAAACTCGTCCCCGTGACTTCCCGCGTGGGCTCGCCGCCGACTGCTGATTCGAGAGACTGGACGTGACCCGCTCGCCAGGGCTCCCTGGAACCGCCGCACAAGCGCGCCAGGCAGGGCACCTGAGCCAGCCGGTGCCGCGCGCAGGGCGCGCGGCTGGAGGGCCGCGGCGCGGTTAGAGAAAAGGGGCGCCGAGCTTCGCCCCAGATCCTCGAGGATCGTGGGGACAAAAACACATTGTGGGGAAAAACACACACACACACAGTCTGTGGGGAAAAACACACATGTGTTTTTTTGTGTGTGTTTTTGTTGTTGTTGTTGTTGTTGTTGTTGTTGTTGTTGTTGTTGTTGTTGTTGTTGTTGTTGTTGTTGTTGTTGTTGTTGTTGTTGTTGTTGAACATTATTTCTTCTTAAGAATAATTATTGTTGGGACCCCTGGTGCACGACCCCCCCGCCGCGCCTAGGCCGCAGCCTCAGGCAAAGTCGTGAGGAAGTCTCAGGCAAAACGGGGGGTCCGGATCCGGTTGTGTTGTTACGATCGGTTTTCCCTTGCAAAAAATAAGCTAAAGTGGACATTTCTTGTTCTAACATAACCAAACTTCAAGAATCCCTTGCAAAAAATAAGGTAAAGTGGACATTCGCGCGCGCAAGACGAAATCCTTCCAAAACCTTAGTTTTCGTAACGATTTTAACATAAAAACATCAAAAACCAATGGTTTTTCAAAAAAAATGTCAAAATTTCATCCCGCGCGCTCTTGCGGATTCGTAGGAAACCCAACACTTTTTAATCATTTCTGTCAAACGGGCTTTTGCGAGCAACTTTTTCGAACTTCTGCAACAACGGTTGCGCACCTGCCAGGGCCATCATCCCTGTCAAATAATACCATGCGGGACACATTCGTTTTTTCTTCGCGCGCGCACGCCGTCGTCGTCGGCCGCGGGGCCCTGAATAGTAGCCACGGTCGTCCGCATGCCACGAAGTGAAGTGTCCGAACGTCATAGGGCGGGAAGCTGGGTGTGGGTGGTGGCGAAGAGTCGTTTGGAAATTTGGTAGAGCTTGAACCGGCCCCCCCACAAAGTGGGGGTATTGCCCGCCTCCTATGAAAACCCTGGCACTGGTGAGAACGGAGTGTCCCCACGTGCTAGTAATTGTTGTTGAACATTATTCCTTCTAAAGAATTATTATTGTTGGGACCCCTGGTGCGCGACCTCTGCGCCGCGCCTAGGCCGCAGCTACATTTTCATCATTTTTTCGCGAAAGCTTCAGAAAAGTGGATGAGCTCCGGATCCGGTTTTTTGTTGACGCTCGTTTTCCCTTGCAAAAAACAATAGAAAATGAAAATTCTTGTTTTTACTTGATCAAATTTCAAGAATCCCTTGCAAAAAATAAGGTAAAGTGGACATTCGCGCTCGCAAGACGAAATCCTTCCAAAACCTTAGGTTTCGTAGCGATTTTAACATAAAAACATCAAAAACCCAATGGTTTTTTAAGAAAAAATTGTCAAAATGTCCTTCCGCGCGCTCTTGCGGATTCATAGGAAACACACCACTTTTTAAACATTTCTGTCAAAAGGGTCTTTGCGTGCTACTTCTTCAGGTGCTTTGAACTTCTCCAACAACGGTTGCGCGCCTGCGAGGGCCACCATCCCTTGCAAAAAATGAGACGAAGTGCACATGCGCGCGGCCGCCGCGCGCGCATGTCGAAATCCTGCCAAACACAATGGGTTTTCAATAATTTCAAGATGCGATGTTCAGAAAACATATGAAAACGCACTACTTTCTCATCCGAAAAATCTCGAAATCCATTCGCGGTCTCTTGATGAATCTTTAAAACCCAAGATGGCCCCAACAGGCGCGCAAGATGGCCCCAAGAGGCGTCCATGAGGCCCAAAGAGGCGCCCAAGATGGTCCCAAGAGGCTTCAAGAGGACTCCAAGAGGCCCCCAAGAGGTTCCAGAGAGGCTCCAAGGTGGCTCCAAGAGACCCCCAAGATGGCCCCAGGAGGCGTTCTAGAGGCCCCAAGAGTCCGCCGTGAGGGTCCAATAAGCCCCCAAGAGGCCCCAAGATGGTTCCAAGGAGCCCCCCAAAGGCTCTCAAGTGGACCCCGTATCCCCTGAGGTCGGCACAGAGATCACGTATCCGCGTCAAGACCAGTGGTGGTGGTTGCCCGTATGGCGGTCGTATGGTCAGAGCGACGAGCTTCCGAACATGCTCGATTACCAGGCCTTGCCACCGCAGGTCCACAACGTGCTCGCGGTAGCACTGCCGTATGCAAGCACCGGCCTTCCCGCCAGCAGGCGTATCGGCAATCTCATTGGGCATCTGGGACCGCACGGGTATCAGCCAGGCCCGCACGTGTATCAGCCAGGCAGCCGGGCACCCACGCGCCCGCTCCGCGCCATCGCAGACGACGATGCGTCGCGCCTTTAGTATGCTTCTGGATGCGAAGACCATTCGGTTGAGTATACCCCTACGTGTGACTGGACCTGTTTGCGAAAGCAGGAGAAAGTATGGCACCCCTTTGTGTCCAGAGCCGCGCCGTCTGCGTTCTTCCTTTCTCGCTTCTCTCCTTTCCTCCTTGTCCTGCTCCTCCTCCCCCTCTTCCGCCTTGGAGCCGTATTGGAACTGTCGATGGCCATCTCCCTTTCTCCCTCGCATGTCTGCTTGTACATACGTATAATTTCAGAACTTACCGTGCATGCGATCGTTTACAACATGGTGGACCGTGCGTATGTCACGAACCTTGTATACATGTGTTTCTCTCCCTCCGTCTGGCTGTGCACGCGCGCGTTGGGCACTGAGAGTTAGGATCATAGCGCCATGAGTCTATGAGCAATGCATGCGTCATCCTTGGGACTGTATAACATCAGTGTAACACATGTACTTCTGTAATCGCATCCCCACGAATTTGCCCCAAAAATGTGACCAACTATCTTGGCACTGCGTACCATCTCACGTGTACCGTGTACCACATCATATGTAACAGATGTGATCAACCTCTGTGGGTGTGTACCCCACGCCAGTGTAGTAGCCAGGGTCGTCCGCACGCCACGAAGTGAAGTGTCCCAACGTCATAGGGCGGGAAGCTGGGTGTGGGTGGTCTCGAAGAGTCGTTTGGATATTTGGTAGAGCTTGAACGGCCCCCCCACGAAGTGGGGGTATTGGCTGGTGTCGCAAGAAAACCCTGGCACTGGGGAGAACACTGAGCGTTCGGGTAAAATGATTGTTGTTGTTGTTGTTGTTGTTGTTGTTGTTGTTGTTGTTGTTGTGTGTGTGTGTGTGTCTGTGTGTGTTTTTCCCCACAGTGTGCGTGTGTGTGTGTGTGTGTGTGTGTGTTTTTCCCACAGTGTGTGTGTGTGTGTGTGTGTGTGTGTGGTTTTTTCCCCACAGCTCGGGATTCGAAGCGGGAGAAGCAGCACGAGCATGATTTTTTTCGGAGCTCCCCGCGGATCTCTCTGGCCCCCCCCCTGGCGGCGCTCCCGTCGCCGACCCTGGCGGGCTCCGCGCGCCAGGGAGGGGGGGGCCCAGGGCCGATCCAAGAAATCCACGCGGACCTTCGAGAAATTATGTTCATGCGTTTTTGAAGTTTAGTAGTATTATAAGTATTATTATGAGTATTATGAGTATTATTATTAGCGTTAATATTGTTATTATTATTTCTACTACTCCCATTATTATTATTATTTTTACTATTATTATTATTATCATTATTATTATTAGTATTATTTTTATTATTGTTATTATTATTATTCTACATTCAGATCATGAACAGCTTATCGTCAAATCCGCTGCCCCTCCCAGGGGCTACCCCACGCTCGCGAGTCAAAGGCCAGCGAGCACGACAAGGCGCTTGCCTCGCAGGCCGTGCCAAAGCAGCCAGATAGGTATGCTGTCTTTGATCCTCCAGGGCGGTTCTTCGGGGCGTCCTCGTGGCCTCTGCGGCCGTCTTCTGGGGCCGCCGGAGGCCTCCAAAGGCCTGGCGGGGGCCTCCCCCCGGGACCCCCAGGGGTCGGGCACTGGGGCGGCACCACACCTTCCCCTAGGAAGGGGGGAGATGCGGTCGGACCGAGGTATGAGATGGAGGTCAGTTCGGGGAGGGTGCCCCAAACTTCGTCGTGAACCGGGGGATGTCACAACCCTCCCAGGCGAGCAGTTTTATCACCCCCCCCACAGGCCAGCCATGAAAGGGAGGCCTTTTTTCCAGACCCCAGTGGGACCTTCAAAGACAGCTCAAGGCCCTCCCCCAAATCAGATCACCCCACTTTTATCGTGAAGTCCAGAGTGCCCCAATGGTCTTCGTGCTTGTTGACTGTTCTTGTGCGTCCTGGGGGAGGTTCCAGCGGCTGCGCCTCGCCGAGGGCGTTTCGGGGGTGCCCAGATCGTTCCGAACGGCTACCGGAGAGCCGAGCTATGACCCAAAAATTACCAGGCGCCCGAGAAGGAGAAGGCCTTCTCAGAAGGCGGCGGGACTTCTCAGAAACCCTCGCGCCTTCTGAGAAGTTCTCTCTGTCTTGGTGAAGTCTTCAACCTTCTCAGAAGGCTGGGGAACTTCCGAGTCTTTCGAGAAGGCCCGCCCCTTCTCATTTCCCCTCCTAACCCCCCGCCGAGTTACACAGGCGACCCAGACTGCCGCTGTGATCCGCTCGACTTCCCTCCCGTGACTGCCTCGCCTGGCTGCAGAAGATCCTGCACAGCATAAACAAGAAGTAAAGAGTAAAGAGAGAAACAGAGAAAGAGAGAGAGAGAGCGTTATCCAGTGGCCTTCGAAGCCTTCGGTCCATCTGGCCACCGTGCATAGGTTGTGGGTATGAAGCCTACTGGATGTTCACTGGGATCTCGTAGGAGGCCTCTCGGGGGTGTCTTGGAGGCAGCTTGGACGCCTCTTGGGGGTCGTGTCGGGGCCCCTTGGGGCCTCCTTTGCGCCTCTTGGGGGCCTCTCGGGGCGCTCCTCCTGGGCGCCTCCTGGGGGCCTCCCGGGGGCCTCTTGGGGCAGAGGGCGGAGTTTTTTTGTGCGTGTTTCCACTCTTGGGCCCCTTTTTTGGGGCCCCGGGCCGTTTTGGGCACCCCTTGGGCTATCTTTGGGCTCCCTTGGGCCGTCTTGGGGCCCTCTCAGAGGCATGTTGGGCTGTCTTGGGGCAGCCTTTGGGGCCTCCAGTGCCGTCCGCGAGCGTCGGGAAGCCGAAACGGCGAGAACGCCCAAATCCTCAATTTCTAAACGAGAATCAATAATTGTTGGCCTCTTGGGGCCCTCCTGGGAGGCCTCTTGGAGGCCTCTTTGGGCGTCTTGGAGGCCTCTTGGCCCGTCTGGGAGCACTCTTGAGCGCCTCGGCGCGATCGCTCGGCGACTCGGGGCCCTCTTCTTGGACCGTCTTGGGGGGGGGCCTCCTGGGGCCCTGTCTTGGCCTGCCTTTTTGTGGCCCCCTCGGGCCCGAAAAACTCACGCGACCACGCTTCCCCGGAGCCCACGGGGGCACGCGACCAGCCCCAGTGTGGCGCGCGGCAGGCCCTGGGAGATTGGGAATCGGGGGGGTCCGGGCACCTTCGATCGGAGACGAAAAACGGCCATATAAACATTCAGTCGGGGCCCTGAAGAAGGAACCCTTTTCGTTGGGGAGGGGCTCCGCGTTCCTTACGTGTTTCGCAGCTTGCTTCAGATTTCCCTCAGGTTTTCGATCGGAAATCGAAGGTTCACTTATGGAAAAAAAGGGGCCTCGTTCCTTATTCAGGGTTCCTTAGGTCAAGGCCCCGACTGTACACTTCTGGCCCTCCGCGCGGATTTCTTGGACCCGCGGGTCCAGCGCAGATCCAAGACCTCCGCGCGGAGCGCCAGAAGCTTGTGCTTCCTGTGTTTTTCCTTCTTCTATTCGAGACTCCTCAGGAGTGGGGATCGAGGCTAGGCTTGGGCCCAGGACCTGAGGGCACGCCCGCTCCGTGCCCGGAGGCACGGTGGCGGACTTTGCTCTGCACACAGAGGGGGCCATGCGGGGGGCCGCGGGCCAGCGGGTCCGTATCTGTAGGTGCTCACACCATGCTTCAGCATGAGCCCGACGCGATTCCGATTAGGGAAAAGGCGTCCCATTGCATGAGCGCGTTGCGTGGCACTGCTTAGCTTGTTATTGCTTGGCATTGCGTGGCATTGTGTGGCATTGCGAGGCATTGCGAGGCATCGCTTGGCATCACTTGGCATCGCTTGGCATTGCTTGGCATTGCTTGGCATTGCTTGGCGTTGCTTGGCATTGCGTGGCGTTGCTTGGCATTGCTTGGCATTGCTTGGCCTTGCGTGGCATTGCTTGGCATCTCTCGGCACTGCTCGGCGCTGCGTAGCGAGGCAGCAAGGAACCCAATCCATGGAAGTAATGGACCACGACCAGGGAACCAGTGCACCGTGACCAAGGAATCAATGAAGCACGTGACCAGGGCCGAAGAAGCAGGGAACCAGGACCAAGGAACACCGAACCACGACCAGGGAGCCCGAGGAGGGCGGCGAGGATCCAAGACCGCGGAACCGAGTCGCCAAAACCAGGGAGCCGAGGAATCAGGGCGCCGAGGCCAGGGAAGGGAGCCCGAGGAGGGCAGCAAAAGGGGGCCCCCGAGGAGCGCCGCTGCAGAAGGAAGCAAGACCAAGAGGAGCCCCGAGGAGCACCACCGTGAAGAGACAGGGCCAAGGAGCCCCGAGGAAGGCCGGCTGGCCAGGCCTCCCACCCGTTGGCTCTTTGACGAACTGCGGTGGGTGGACTACAAGTGTCCACACGTGCCTCGCCAGGACCTCGGATTATCAAAGCACGTCGGACCAAGGGCGTTTCGCAGTTGTTGTTGTCATCATGTTGCGTTGCCTTCCCGCCATGGGCGTGGGCACTTTTTGTCCGGGCACTGTAGTGCTAAGTCGAGCACGTCCCTGTACAGGAGGAATATCCGAGAATAGTGGAACATAGTCAGCTGACGATTTTAGTTTTTCAGTGTTGTTTCGCTTGTTTTTCTTGTTTGTGGACTATTCTTCAGCTTTCCTCCAACATTCGCCTGTAGGAGGACAGGCACGGCCTAAGACTAGTGAGCACCTTCCTCTAGGCAGCGCCTTCCCGGGGAACGATCCTACAGGACCCTTGACAGACGAGCTGCCAAAGGGGGAAAGGGCTTCGCTCTTCGCTCAGAGTCCCAGACGGGGGGGGGGCAGCATCGCAGCATCCTCCCATACCTCGCAGGCCTAGAGGTTGACACCAACACCAAGATCGGCGGTGTTCCTCCACCGAGGGACGAAGATCCCGATCTCGGTGATGGTGGTAAGATTCTGGCTTCCAAGGTGGCCGAAATATTACCACCAACACCGAAATCAAGGATCACCTCCCTCCTGTGGAGGCAGCCCTCTGTCTTGGTGTTGGTGCCCATTTACAGGCCTCCCAATACCTCCTCGACCTCTTCGCCCTTCTCTTCCCTTCCAGCTCCTCTCCGTGCTGCAGCCATTTCTACGAAGCAGGTCGCTTCTGTTCCCGCGCCCCCGGCGCCCTGGGGCCTGGCGCGCACCCGCGCAGCAGGCTCCTCCTGGCATCCTCAGCGCTGACGTCCTTCTCCTTTCTGAAAGCGTCGGCAATACATGAGCACGAGGCTGTTGCGTTCTTCGTCGTCCTCCTCCTCCTCCTCCTCCGTCGCTTGCCCCTCATCCCCCCCCCATCCTGTGTTCGGGAGACTTCAGGGGTTGATGGACAGGGCCTGCTTTCGTGATTATCTCCACATGCAGGCTACGACTTGGGGCTTTCCCCAAGCAGACGGTGTTTCTCCACATCTAGATCCCTCAGCCCCGCCAGACTATCCAATGGCGGTCCGCCCGCCCGCAGACCTGAAAGCTTGGTCAGTGATCCTCTGAGGAGGAGGAGGAGGAGGAGGAGGAGGAGGAGGAGGAGGAGGAGGAGGAGGAGGAAGAGGAGGAGGAGGAGGAGGAGGAGGAGGAGGAGGCAAGGGCGGGCGATATTCGAGGCTTTCGAAGGTTTTTGTCGGCTCTCGGCGCCTCTCCGGCCTCGGGATGCTTTCCATCGGCGGCATCTGGCCGCGAGCGTTTTGGGGGGGCCAGGATCGCCCCGAATGGCTGTCGGAGAGCCTAGCTATGACCCGAAGACCAAGAGACAATGTTAGGGGGGCAATGCTCAAGGCGGGATGCATCGACCCTCAACAACCCACTTATCGCCGATAGGTGTTGCTGGGGAGGAGAGGAGGAGGAGGAGGAAGCAACGGCCGGCGAGGTTAGAGGTTGTCGCGCGTGTTCGTCGGCTCTTGGTGGTTTTCCGGCCTCGGGGTGCGTTTCAGCAGCTGCGCCTCGCCGATGGCGTTTCGGGGGTGCCCCATTGTCCCGAACGGCCGCTAGAAACTCGAGTTTTGGCTCGAAAACTGAATGACCCAGGAGCAATCTGGGGAGTAGGAAGAGGATGAGGAGGAGTCGGGTTGGGGTGGGGGCGGTTAGGGCGGAGGAATGCAGAGATTTTTTTGTGTAAACAAACCAGTGACAGAGCTCTGCATGGACAGAGATCTGTGCTTACTCCCAGACCGCGGCCAGGAAGTTTACCCGTGCTACGGCCGTAGCCCTATTCCCAGACCGCCGCCAATTAAGTTTTCAGGGACATGTTATACATCCGTCATCACATGTTTTCAGCATGGCTGGCACCAGGTCGACATGTACACGAGACACGTGACGTAGCGACCAGTGCCGCGAAGTATTGGTGCCGTCAGCGTCGAGGAGCCCAACGCCACAAGCAGCTGATGAACTTTTGGGCGCACGACGGAAATAGCCTCGTGAGAGCATACCGCCTGGAATCTGTATCTTTCGAGTTGTATGAGCGGCCAGAATGTCGCTGATCAGTATCCACAGTGCCCTCCTCGAGACTTCGAGACCGCGTACGAACAAGGCCATCAAATATGGTTGTTTGACAACGCTCGGCCTGCGCACGTTCTCTGTCGCCGGGCTGCGAAGTTTAGTCAAGCCAGCCACACAGTAATTGGATACGACCGCCGCCCGCGAATTTCTGCACATCGCGAGCTTCAGAACACTTCCAGGGATTCTCATAGGGCTGTGTTGAACCCAAGTCCTACCTGGGTGGCACCAGTGACCGCATTTGATGCGAACGCGGCAACGTTGCCAAGTTTAGCACATGCGGGCTTTGCCGGGCCAAGGAGAAACAACTTGAAGTCGCAGCGCAACTTCATTTCTCGCTGCGAAAACACGAACGGGGCCAAGCAGATTGAGCCTTCGCAGCATCTCCATTCAGTGGCCTCGAGCAATTCTTGGTGCATGTTTTTGATTTACTGGTGCATGGAAGCACCGCGATGAGTGGATGGTCAACGCTCGACTTCGTAGGCGCGCGCATCAACGGATGGCCTCGTGCCGAAGCGCCCGCCTTCCTGAACCATGTGCCAGAAAGTCTTGGAGGTTACCGCGATCACCGACCTGCGGAGGCGATGAGCTACGTGGGAATGCAAACCAAGCGGCCCCCAGGCCAGAAGTGTGCGTGATGGGGCCGCAACGCGCTGGCCCAAGGCTTCAAACTCCTACGGGCGCCGGTGCAGAAGTGTTAGTTCGTCTGGAAAATATTCGAGAACAGCTTCGGCAATCTGTTCTACGACCTGGCAAGGCAGGACGATGACATGAGGGCTGCGGAGACAAACGGAGGCGTGCCGCGCCGCCCGTCTAATTCAACGCCATCGAGCACGCCATCGCGGCGACGGTTGGCCTTGACCACGCGCTGGAACTGTTGGGTCACCCTGCCGAAGTTGAAGGACGAAGCGCTGGGGCCGATGAAGACGGAGGACCGCGCCCCGAGGCGCGTGGCAAGGCGCCTCGGCCAGGCCACGGGGCACCGTGCGGCCCCAGACTGAGCGCGACGAGGCCAGCAGAGCAGCGGCCAAATCAGAGAGCGCTGAACGACGACCGCGCCTAGCAGAGGGAGCCGCAAAACCGCGGGCGGCCGGCGCCGGCGTGAACGAGGGAGCGCTGCGCACGTGGGGTTTGGGGGGGGGCGAGCCTTTTCGACGCGGGTCGCTGCGGTGGGCCGCCGGGGCTCCTGCCCAGCGGCGGATTTCGCATCGGCAGCTGCTGGGCCTGCGATGACGCCGGCGCCATTTTCGAGGTGCCGAACTTCTAGATTGCGCTGGTTCTCGATGTGATGAGGGCAGATGCCGGAGCTCTTGGTTCGTCGGGCTCAGCGTCGCCGCAACTGTGCTCGGGGGGCGGAAGCCGCCGCGAGGGATTTCTTCGCTCGCCAGATTTAGCGCCGCCGCTTCTTTGCAGCGATCGCCTCGGAGCCATGCGTGGCGGGTGGGTGATCGACCCATGGGAGCTTTGCGTTGTGCATGCCGCCCCTGCCCCGTGGAGTCTTGCAAGCGCGTCGAGCGCTCCGTCATTCGGCCTGGCGCTTCAAGGATGGCGAGGCGGTCTCGCTGAGAAGACCGACGGGGCTACGGGATACATGCGGAAGGCCATTGCCAAACAAGGTGCTTCATCTACCGCAGTCGCAAGGCGTCCATGGATGTCGCGGCGATGCCAGAACCGCGCGGGCTAGACTCCATTGTTTCCAATTCGCAGCTCGGCGCTTCGACAGGGGGGTCCACAGGAGATGCTCTCGATGTTGCAGTTGGGGGTATTCGCAGGTATCGGCTCCATGACAGCACGTCGCGGTTGGGTGCCTGCGCGGCGTCTGGAATGCTCGTCGCGGTCCTGATCGACTTCAGGAATTCGATTTGTTCGGCCGCGACGAGGTATGGCGCTCTCTGGAGCAGCTGGCAGCGGTGCGAGACGTTCGGCCGGCGGCCGAGAAGCCTCGACAGGGGGCGCGCGACGTCGCCGGGGGCGCCCGCGCCAGTCGAACTGCCGAGAGGCTGCTGACCCCCAGCGGAGTCTACATGGGGGCGTCGAGGGGTCCCTCCTGTTCGCGGCCGTGCGTGGCCGCTTGGCGTCGAAGCTCGAGCAGCGCCATGCCCGTTCCGCACGCATCCCCTGACGTGTCCGTGGTCTTCAGTCCTGCGTTGAGATAGATTTGCCATCGACGTGTTCTATTGGGAGAGGCGGGGGGGGGGGGAAGGGCGGCCGCGTCGCTTAGCATATCCGCCGACAATCTCATCGCATTCATCAGTGTTGATAATTTCGACGTCGCTCGTCTCTACCCGGCGTTCTGGAAGGGTGGCGTCACGAAGGGTAAGATCAGATGAGCGGTTCGGAGACAGCGATGTTGATCGTGACTGGGGGTGGGGGGTGGGGGCAGCAAGCGCAGGGGTTCTGCGATTCGATTCGAAACGACGACCAACGTGCACCTGGCTGGGCCCCCCGCGAATGCGATCCCGAGCGCAGTGTAGTTCGGGGCGAGGCAGCGAGGCGGCACCGCGATGGCGCGGGTGCTTGGGCCTGGGATTCAAGGCGCCGCTGCCGCCGGTACTCGTTTGGCTTGTCGTCTTTCAGCAGCCACATCGGCGTTCGGCCCCGAGCTTGCTTGCGGGGTCCCCCCTTGCGCTCGGCAGCCCTGGTTGGGCTCGAGGTGACCCCATCGGAGCAGGATGGGTCTCGCTCGGCTGGAGAGATGGCCGACGCGGCAGTTGAGGTTTCCAGGCCATCGCGTGAGCAGTGCTGAAATTCGTGGTCTCGCGCGTGTCTCCGCCGCGTCTTCGACTTTGACGGGGCGCCGCCCCGGCCTGGCGGCTCCAGGTCATTCGCCGAGCTATCCCCGACCTGCGACGAATATTTTGCCAGCGAGGACTTCAATCATTATGATAGTTCCATGTCATGCAGTGTATTCTCGCGGTGTAGTTAACTTATGTCTACTTGTGAGCCATCAATTCCATTGCTCGCGCAATCGTCCCACGCGCCCATCCGCCGTTTTGTTTTGAACTCTATGCGGCGGCGATCGCGATGGCTGCTTGGGGCTTGCTGGCGCATTGCCACGGCTGGGCGAACTCGCGCAGGCGCGCGCAGATCGGCTGGCTAGTCTGGCGCTGCCGACGCGGCCGCGGCGGCGCTGACCACCGGTGACTTTCCAGCCGCTGACTCGCGGGCCTTTCAGTGCGAGTCGGTGGTTTGGGCGGGCGCGGTTTTGCGTCGTCGTCGACGGCAGCGGACGCCGCGGTGATGGTAGCGATGCTGGCGACGACAAAGATGATGATGATGAGGACGACGGCAAGGCTAAAGGCGGCGCCGTCGCTGATCACGCCGATGGCGGTGATGGTGTTCGCGTGTCGCTCATGAAGGTTGTGGGGGGCTTTCGGCGCGCGCGCGGCCAACGGGCTCGAATGGCCCGCGTGGTATCATTTGAGAGGGATCGTGCCCGCCCCCCCCCGAGCGCGCGCGCGCAGGGGCGTTCAAAAGATGTCGACGCGCCCGCGCGAGAGGCCCGTTTTATATCGCATTTGATGGTGATGTTGACTGAGCCCGGGCGCATTTTTGGATAACTTTGTTTGAATCAGCGCTGGGGCAGAATTGGATGGAACTTGCTGGGCACGAGGGTAGAGGCTTACCCCCTGGGATCGATCCGAATTCCTTTGCAGAGAAGGATTCTATGTG